ATCCATTGTGGTGGTGTATAGAGCCAAAAATGTTAGAATTGTGTCGATGTCCCAATATTTATGGACCTGACTGTATGTGAAAGGAAAAAAAACAAAAAAAAATATTTTTTGCTTGCACATTATTGGATAATGGAGGTCAGCCAGTAATTTTGGTTGCACATGATTGAATGATGGGAGGGAGTCAGCAGAGCTTCACTTTTAGTGAAAATTCCATTGCAAAGGGAATTGTTTTTGCAAAGTGATCAGCCTACTTGCCTTTAATAAATCCACTCCAGTGTCTTTTGGCCATTGCTTAGGAAAGTTGAGTAAAGATGTTACAGTGCATGTCAAGAGTGTTAAGAATAGTTGGATGTGTCTTTCCCTAGATAAGCATCTGGGGATGTAAAAGAATGGTTATAGTAGTGGCTAGGTATATTAACCTCCCTAGTGGTCTGATTATATCAGTATTTCTGTGCTCAAAGCGGTACATTGTTTCAGTGGAAATATGTTGTTTTTTTATTGTGGGCCTGTAATTCTTAGGAATAACTCACTGAAATCTGTTTAAACAAGAGTCTAGTAGACATCCTGGGAGCAATAAAGTTTAATAACTTAAATCATAAATGATAATATATTAAAAAATAATATAATAATAAAATAAATAATGTAATCAAATCAAACACACGGAACGCTGTCCAAACAATATTATATAGACACTGCATATTCTAGAAAACATCACGGGTGTGGTATATTTTGAAACACGGGACTGCACAACGTCCGACATCGCAATCAGGACAGTGGAACTTCGTTTCCTTGTGGATTTTTTTCCACTCTCGTCTTGCCGAGAGCAACATACCAAGCACATCCGTGTAGGTGCTGCCTTTTTTTGGGTTGGTGGGATGTGGTCCATAAAGTGACATCCAGTCAGGCGTTCTTGGCTGACAACTCCCACAGCACATCGTCCGGATCTACCCACAGACACTGATGGCGTTTGATGCTTGAGGAAAATGGATTCCGCCACTTTCCAGATAAAGTCTGCATGAAACACAGCCTTGTCACTGTTTTTGCAGAACAGAATATAGGCATTCCACAAGCACAGATGATGCCGGAAAATCTTTTTGTAGTATTTCCTCTGCTGCTTTCTCATCACGGGATAGAATGTCATAGCTTGGTCAGCTCTGTTGACACCTCCCATGGTGCTATTGTAGTCAATAACAACCTGAGGCTTCTGGATGTTTTTCACACCTTTTGTTTGTACCATCACTGTGGAGGCATTGTGAACAGTACTCATTAGGCATGCATCCTTGTCTCCCCATCTCAGTGCCATCATTTTGCCTTTCTGCCAGGCAACTAATTCTCCCGACTTCAGTTTGTTTTTTGCAAACATCGATGGCAGGTTGCGCTGGTTAGCCCAAACGGTTCCGTAGGCATCCGTTTTGTGCTGAAGAAGAACCTCATAAAGTTCTGGAGAGGTATAGAAATTGTCCATCGTTACACAGTAGCCTTGGTTTAGCAGAGGCTCAATTAGTGACAGAACAGATGATGTTGCCATTCCATATTTGCTGTACTTGGGATCAAATTTGTTCCTTTGCCAGTGTACAAAATTGTGTTCCATATGTAGCCGGTAGAGGATTCGCACAGCAGGTAGGATTTGACACCAAATCGTGCTCTCTTGGTGATATACTGTATCCAGCTGAGCCTTCCTTTGTAGGCCATTAGACATTCGTCTATACGAATGTCTCTCTCTGGCACATAATTTTTGACAATTATTTGGGAAACTTCCCACATTTTTTTTAGCTTGGGAGCCGGATGAGTTGTTTCATCAAAATCCTCATTATTTGCAAAGTGCAAAAATTTCATAATAAGGGAAAAGCTGTTTTTTGGCACATGACTGCCAAAGAACGGCGTGGTAAGCATTTTGTTGGTGGTCCAGTACCACTTCTGCAGCGGTTTCCCCACCACTCCTTGCAGAATAATTAGGCAGAGAAACAGCCAAATGTTCTCTTTGGTCACAGGTTCCCACTTTCTGCTTCGTGAAAACCTGCTGTATGGAGCAGCTAGTTGTTGCGCTGCGTACCCATTTGTCTCCGTCGCGATAATTTCAATAACCTCATCGGTCAGAAACAATTCCAAGTACGCCAAAGGGGTTGTCACCTTCAACGTGGACTTTCATACCAGGTGCGCCGGTAAACGGAAATCTTGGTGGTACTGGCGTACCGCAATCAATAGTGCACCACGTGCACAGATCACTCACGTCAATCTCAGATTCGCCGCTGTCTTCACTGTCGACAAATCGCCACATGAGTCGCTATCACTCAATTCAAGTAGCTCCTCACTGTCGCTGTTTGCGAGCTCATCATAAACCGCTTTGGTGCTAGCGAGACGCTTTTTGGAAGCCATGAGTGCAAAACCGTTTTTAGTCACAGAAGCTGAAAAACTGCACTATGAAAATATAAGGTAAAGTTACAATGTATGCACTAGAGTAACACATTATTTTGACACTGATCTATTTTTATAACTCCCACCTCCCACAAGCCCCGCCCCCCGATGGCACAGCACAGCTGGCTCACACTGATCACACTGATTAGCGTGATATACCAGGGAAGCAGGGGAAGACAGGGGATGGACGGAGGGGATGGCTGCATGTGCCTCAGGACCCGGGACACGGATTGCAGGGACCAGGTACTTAGTTTGCGGTGACCCCAAGTCTGGCTCGGGGTTACCGATTTTGACAGCTAAATTTAACCCCGAGCCAGACTCGGGAAAACCACTAGGGAAGTTAAAGGATAAGTTCACCTTTTTACCAAATATATTAAATGCACATTTTTTTGCAGGTAAAAAATTTTAATTTATTATTTTTGGCTGCAAGAGCCTGGAAAACATTGCACCAGTGATCTCCTGCAGGTCTATCAGTATATCTGCTTGCCCATATGGGATGTACAAGCAAGCAGACATACTGACAGGAAGAATCAATGAACTATCACGGCACTGAGTTTATTGAGAACTACAAGCCAACAACCTCTAAGGCTGTCGGTGACTTGCATTTTTTTTTAATTTGTCAGCTAGCGGGACAGTGGGGGGACAGAAGATCCCCCGCTAGCTGTCAAAGCTGGGGAGCGGGGGTCGGTGCATTCATAACATGTTACATGTTACACCCTGAATATGGGTGTAATGTGTTACATGTTATGAAAGGTGAACTTGTCCTTTAAAGTTGTATTTCTCTTTTGAGTGCAGCAAATTAATTTGTTGTTGGGTATAATGTCAAGGACAATGTAAATGTTGCCCTAAACTTACATTAGGATGGTGCGACCCCATATTGATCCTAAGATAACTTGTCTGAATCTGAGATCCTTAGGCTGTTTGAGTCAGTTCTGCACATTTATCAATCCTCTAAAACAGGGGTCTACAAACTTTCTAAATATAGGGCCAGTTTACTGTCCATCTGACTGTCATGGGGCTGAACTGTGGCCATTGGAAGTAGAAATTGTACTGGCATCAGCGGAAGTAACAACTCATCTTTGGTATTAGGGCGAGGAATAGCACATCTTCATTGGTGCAAGTGGGAGGAATAGTGCCCAATTGTTGGTGTCAGCGGGAGCAATAGTGCCCAGTTGTGTCAGTGGGAGGAATAGTGCCCCATCATTGGTGTCAGTTTGAGGAATAGTGTCCTATGGTTGGTGTCATTGGGGAGAAATAATGTCCCATCATTGGTGTTGGTGGCAGGAATAGTGCCTCTACATTAGTGTCAGTGGGAGGAATAGTGTCCTATTGTTGGTGTCATTCGCAGGGAAATAGTACCCCATCAATGGTGTCAGTGGGAAGAATACTGTCCTACTGTTGATGTCATTGGAGGGAAATATTACCCCATTGTTGATGTTGGTGGCAGGAATAGTGCCCCATCATTGGTGTCAGTGGTAGGAATAGTGTCCTATTGTTGGTGTCAATGGGGGAAAATAGTGCCCCATCAATGGTATCAGAGGGAGGAATAGCACCCATCATTGGTGTCAATGGGAGAGATAGTGCTTCATCGTTGATGTCAGTAGCAGTAATTATGCCCCATTGTTGGTGGGAGGAAAGGAATAATGTCTTATATCAGTGGGAGGAAACGTGCCCCAAGGCTGGATAAAGGCAAGCAAAAAGCCACATCCAGCCCCTGGGCCGCAATTTGGAGACCACTGCTGTAAAACCTTTATCCACTTATTTCACACCCACATAACATTTACTGCAGCTGCAGGCACCCCGATATACTAGTACATCGCTCAGCACATACATGGCCACGGCACAATACTATGACTGCTGTTGCTGGTGGACACAAGCAATCACAGCATTTGCTACCCAGCCACTGTGAGCGGCCAGGGTATCTCGATCACTATGACCAATAATAGCGATCACATGATTACCATGTACTGTAAGCAAAACTGTCATGAATGGCTTCCTTTCATGACAGCTTGCTTACTGTTGTGATGCTGTGATTGACCCACTGCTATCACATGGTACCTGGGCCAGTCACAGCACCCTGTGCCATGTGATTAGCTGTAGCCAATCACAGATCACAATAGTAAGCAAACTGTTATGAATGAAAGCCATTCATGACAGTTAAAACTATTGCTTATACACTGCAATCGTCACTGTTATAAGCAATAATAGTGTATAAAAAAAACCCTGATCACTCCTCCAGAGTAGTAGAGTGTCAGCATGGTGACACTAAACTAATTTGATGGCAGAAGAAAAGAAAAGTAAAAAAAAAGAAAAGAAAAAGTGTTTTACAGAAAGAAATAAAGTTTTAAAAAAATGTAATAAAAAATGTACAAACTGTCACCAGTCAGCATCTCTGATACACCAGCACACCAGTCATGATAATGCTGTACTGCACTGGTGACATATGTAAAAAGAAATTGTGAAAAAAAAAAATGATTTAAAGTGTTACTAAACCCACAACAGTAAAATCGGTCTGTATATGCAGTAAAGCATGCTTATTATACTCACTGTGGAACCTAAGGGGGTAATCCTGATAGAAGTCAGAAGACACTGATAGAAGTCACAAGACTGCTCTAACTGCTGATGAGAAAGGGTATTTTGCAGTTTATATTCACTTAAATAATTGCTTTTCCTTGTTCTGTGTACTGTGGGAGACCAGATATAGTGAATGCAGGGTCCTGAGTTTAGTAACACTTTACTTTCTTCACTTTCCAAACAATTGTGACAAAAAACTGGAAACATCAAAAAACTCACCATGCCTATTACTAAATACCTTGATCTGTCTTTTTTCTGAAAAGGGGTTATTTGGGGGTATTTGTACTATTTTAGTGCCTCAAAAAATTAGATTGGCCCTCAGTACATCAGAATTTATCAATTTTCAAACACTGTACAAATCCCATAGTTTGTAGGCTCTATAACGTTCACATAGACTAAATAACATACACTGCTTTGGTTTATTTTTCCCAAAGAAATATAGCAGAATACATTTTGACCTGCATTTATGAAAAAAGATTATTTGCGTACAGTGTTGCATGACCACGCATTTGCCAGTTAAAGTAGCCCAGTGCTGAATTGCAACAAAATGCTCTGGTCATGAAGGGGGTAAAGAATTTTGGAGGTCAGGTGGTTATACTCTGACTACACAATTGGTTAAAGTGGAGATGGGAGATTAAAGCTAGTACTGTTTCAGGGATCAGTCATCTTGTATTACACAAGGTCTTTGCCTTTTCTTTTCCTGAATCATTTGGATATGTGTATATAAATTTCACCATTCTATCTGACACATCGGCTCATTGTTGCATTCTCCTTGAGTCCTGGGTAGAACTCCCTTCATGTCCCCAGACTGTCTGCCAGCAGCTGTAACTCTTTAGCCCTGAATTCAGAAACCGGGTGGCTGTATACACGGGTCGATACTACAAAATGATGCTTGTCTTTTCTATAACCTTATGTGCCCACCGCTCTGTCCTGTGTCACAAATGGATGTCTGAGTAGTCAATTTATATGTTTCTACTAGGGGACACATTGCCATAATAACTGCCATAATTTTGCATTTAAATTGAAAAAAAAAAAAAAAAAAACCATGTGCGCTCAGACTCTCACTATCTTATGAAGGCTGCGTAAATATAACAACACAGGATTGTTTGTATAGAGAAACAATTACATTTGCATATGAAATAAATACTCTAACAATGAAAGGGTTACAGTTACGGGCAATTAATATTTCACATGTAGTTATGGCTATTAACAGCTAACAATAATGTCTATTGCAATAAACACAGTTTAGAAAGCTGACAGGCGTTTATATTCAATGTATTTCAGAAGAGAACAGAACGAGAAAAAAAGAGTTCAGTACACAAAGCAATCTGTGAAAGTACTCAGCAATTTGTAGTGATATATTTCCTCCCTGCCTTTTATAATTTCTCCTTCATTGAAGACTGATTTAAAAAGCATTCATTTGATTAAAGTTAATGGCTTGAGCTCTTTTACACATAATTAAAATTACTTGAAACCCTTGTTCAGCAGAGGCTGTAAAGAGCAAAATTAATGTTAGCTTGTTGCACACCAGGAGTCCTGTAAGCCTGGGGCAATGTAAAAATGGTATGTTGATTGCACCGTTTTCCTTACTGAGGTGTGTGCAGGGGGTATCACAGCAAGGTTTCTCATCATCTTGTGAGTTTCTGAAGAAGTGGGCTGAGTGTTTTTTTTAATTAAAGTGGTGGCTAGTGATGGGTGAATGTGCTTGGTTTCAATTTTCAAGAAATGTTTGGCGAACACATCCGAAATTCTGCAACAATAATATGAACCCCAGTGAAGTTAATGGGAGGAGAATCTTTAAAATCTATTCTCTCCATTTCCCAGGCTAAGAGAGAAGGTCAAACTAAGAGCATGGATAGATGGCCACTGCCCTGAAGGACACGTACTAATGAAAAAAGAATATTAAAAAAAATACTGTTCAGCAGCAGCTGTTTTAATAAGGCTTAAAGTAAAACATTAAAAAAAGCAAAATTCCTTTAAATAACATGCTCAGGGAATGCCTTAAACCTGCCTGTGAAGTGTTGCACCTGTAGGATGTACACAAGCAAAAGTGACATTTTGGAAACGAAAAACAAAATGAGTCAACTATAAGGAAACTTGGGTAAGGAGTGAATGTGTCTCGTAGCTAAGCTTGATGAACTGTACCTGGATTTATTTGGTTAGTGAAAAGACTAAGAAGCAGCAAAGAAAAGATGGACAAAAAAAAACAGATGAAAGATGGGAGATGCGTTATGATTGGATAGTGAAAGAGTACAAATTTAAACATGTGCCTTTTTTCAACTAGACTAGCTACTTAAAGCTGAACTCCAGATGTGCACCAATATAAGTATGAATATCTCATACCTGAGGGGTCAAGATATTTCAAAAATGCAATTTTCCCACGTGAAGCAAGGCCATTCATAGAACCCATAAACCTGAAATACAGTTACAATGTAGCCTTATATGTACATCAAATACTTTTCACAATTATTTGTGTCCATTCCTGTGGACACCTTGAAAATAAAATAGATCTAGAAATATTTTTCTATATCTTTTCTGTAAAATGGAAGTCTAATATTACACATTTTGTTGGTGATAGTCCTGAAAATAATGATAGTCTTTGTACCATGACTGTACTTGTTTGTGTAATTTCATGGAGTCTTAGTGTCATTCAATCATTTTACAGTACCCTATATACAGTATTCCTCTGTTTTCTGTAAAATGGAAGCCTAATATTACACAATTTGTTGGTTATATTATTGGAAATAATATATAGTCTTTGTACCATGACTGTACTTGTTTGTATGATTTCACGGAGACTACAGTCTTAGTATCATTCAGTTCTTTCACAGTACTCTAAAAAATAAGTATAGTTTAAACTAATGTAATAAAGGAGTAGAGAATGTTTACTGTGAACACCCATTTATTTGTAAGGGGCACGAAATAAACAGGATTTTGACTTGAACATTGCTAGGTGATAGAAGTGAATACAGCTATACTGTATTTACTAAGCTAAGTGAACATTAACTTTTTTTTATACGTTGCAATGTCCCAATATTAGATGAATTCAATATCAGTGTTTTAATCCCGTCGTATTCCAACCAGTATCACCATCCATGTTTCAGACTTGACATATACAGTGTGTCCCACCACTGTTCACATATGCGCTCACCATTAGATGAGACCTGGATGAATCAGGTCTAAAATCACTTTTTCCCACTCCGGGGAAGATCACAGGCTTTCCTCCACTAAGTTCCCATTTCAATCAATGCTGTAGATTCCAAATGTTGCACTCAAAATTCCGGGTGTATTGCCCTTTAAAAAATTGTCTCCAGTTCTGCAATAAAGCTCATACAAAGAAGGATGTCCCCATTGTGTAGCACACATGTGTCAAACACAAGGCCCAGAGGCCAAATTTGGCCCATCAGGCCATTTCATGTGGCCCTTGCACCTCTCCTGCAGCTTCAGCACCCCCTTCATGTCCTCCTCCATCTTTTCTTAGCAGTCGGCACAGAAAGGAGGACAGAACTCCTCCTCCAGATCCTGCGCTTCTCCATGCAGCTGCAAAGAAGCTCCTTTATGCCCCCCCGTCCTGTCTCAGAAGTAGAGAGGGGAACAGAACTCCTCCTACAATTATGTGCAGCCATAGTACCCCCTTGTCTCCACCTCCCCTGGTCTCAGCATTCAGCAGGCTCCACCAGCTGACTCCAGCCCTCCTCAGGTCCTCCTCCAGACCCAGCATTTAATGCTTCCCAGCTCAGCCCCCAGCTTCCTCACAGCAGCAGCACAAGGTAAGGGGGTACACTGTGATGTAAAAGACCCTTTGAGGGCAACCATAATGCTGATGTGGCCCACAATGAAATTTTGTTTGACACCCCTGGTGTAGCATATTAAAAACCAAGCTTTAATAGATAAGTAATGTACTTACATATACATAAAACAATAACACTGTAAAATGACAGCCTGTGTGGCCGCTGCGCCTGCGTCACCTCCGGGTTTGGGACTCGCCACCTGGCTGAGCTAAACTGGTAAGGAGGCTTATACTAAACTGGTAAGAAGTCCACAGAGCTCCTTTATCAACTGGAGTGAAAAGAAAATTAGAACATAAAAACATAAAAAAGCTGCCCTTTGTCACTCTAAAGCAGTGTTTCTCAACTCCAGTCCTCATGGACCCCCAACAGGTCATGTTTTCAGGATTTCCCTCAGATGAAACAGCTGTGGTAATTACTAAGGCAGTGAAACTGATCAAATCATCTGTGCAAAATAATGGAAATCCTGAAAACATGACCTGTTGGGGGTCCATGAGGACTGGAGTTGAGAAAACACTGCTCTAAAGTAACAATTTTGGAGGGATTTTTTTTTGCCTTCGAATGACTGAAAATGCATTGTGTTGTTGTTGTTAAGGTATAATAGTACATTATGAACAAAAGTGAAAATGCCTGAAATCAAAGTTCTGCTAAATTAGTACTTTTAGTGTCAAATTTGATAGACAATTTCAAAAGTAGACAACATGAATATTTTCACAAAAAAAAACTGAAAAACAAATTACAATTTTCCTGTTTTGAAATTTCCCCTTTGCAAAATAAAGAAAGAAAGAGGTGCAATTTTAATAGAAAAGTGATCAATGGATCTATACAGTCACTGCTTACATATTAAACCCTTGAAAACATTTCAAAACATTGTTATGCACACTGGATGTTTTTACAGCTGCTGTTTTTGGCTTTTGACGTTTTTTTTTCTACAGCCAGCATGTTATCCTATGTATCAGTGCACATATAGACTGTAATCAACGTTTTTTGGCAGGGGACGTTATATGGCTGGAAAAAAAAAACTCAGGACTAGAGGGGTAACGTGACTTTACACAGCTAACGTTATCGGCGTTCTCAAAACGCCCAGTGTGCATGGAGCTGACCTAATTAGTTTACTAAAAACAAGCTGCTAGGATTGTGGGTTTTTTTAGCTGTAAAAACGTTCTAACACTGAAAAACACGGTTTAAAACGACGAAAAACCGGCATTTTTGGACTTTTTTTCACCCCCAAAATTATTTTTGGGTGCAAAAAATGCTAAAAAACCACAAACACGGAAAGACGTGAGAAAACGGCACTAATCGCGGCAAAACACCACTAAACGCTAATGCAAAAACTCTAAAAAAAACCCTGAAATGCGACTGTACACAGCTACTCACGGGGGGTGTTTCACATTGTCATGTGATTCACGTTTATTCACTTTTTAATTTTTTTTTTTATTTTAGGTTTTGATTATTTGTGTTTATGTAATGAGGGTAATACACTATTTAGTTTTATATTTTTTTGAGGTACACGGTGGATGCCTGTACCACATCAAAGGAATAAAGAATTGAAAAGATGTACTGACACCAAGAGATTTTGGGACTTTCAGGGGTGAAAGTGTGACTTTTTGAGTGGTAATTAAGGGTTTTTTTCTTTGTTTTTATTTTATTTGAACACCGATTTTTGAATTTTATTTACACAGCTAACGTTACCAGCATTATCAAAACACCCAGTGTGCATGGAGCAGACCTAATCACTTTACTAAAAACAAGCTGCTAGGACTAGTGGGTTTTTTTAGCTGTAAAAATGCTTTAACACTGAAAAAATGCAGCAAAACGTGGTAAAATGACGCAAACCGGCATTTTTGGACGTTTTTTTCACCCCCCAAAATTCTTTGGGGTAAAAAGAAAAGCTAAAAACGTAAACACAGAAAAACACGAGAAAAGGCTGCTAATCGCGGCAAAACACTGCTAAACGCTAATTCAAAAAGGCTAAAAAAAAAGCTGAAAAACTCACGTTTTTAATGTGACTTTAGACAGCTAATGTTACAGGGGTTATCAAAATGCCCTGTGTGCATGGAGCTGACCTAATCACTTTACTAAAAACAAGCTTCTAGGACTAGTGGGTTTTTTACCTGTAAATGCTCTAACACTGAAAAACGTGGTAAAATGACGCACACCGGTGTTTTTGGACATTTTTTTTCACCAAAATAAATTTTTTTGGGTGAAAAAAAAACATTAAAAAAATACAAACGCGAGAAAACACTGCTAATCGCAGCAAAAAGCCTCTAAACACTTATGCAAAAAAGCTAAAAAAAGCTGAAAAACTCACGTTTTTAACGTGACTTTAGACAGCTAACGTTACCAGCGTTATCAAAATGCCCTGTGTGCATGGAGCTGACCTAATCACTTTACTAAAAACAAGCTTCTAGGACTAGTGGGCTTTTTAGCTGTAAATGCTCTAACACCGAAAAAAAAAAACGTGGTAAAATGACGCACACCGGTGTTTTTGGACATTTTTTCACCAAAATAATTTTTTTTTGGGCAAAAAAAAAAACACTAAAAAATACAAACGAGAGAAAATGCTGATAATCTCAGCAAAAATCCGCTAAACGCTAACGCAAAAACGCTAAAAAAAAGCTGAAAAAACTCACGTTTTTAACATGACTTTACACAGCTAACGTTACCAGCGTTATCAAAACGCCCCGTGTGCATGCAGCTGACCTAATCACTTTACTAAAAACAAGCTGCTAACAATTGTAAAGAGCAGGCATCTAGAGATGTAAATATTGTTTCAGATTTTCTGGTTGCAACCATTTTTGCATTTGCAGTGGAAACATTCCTTCAGGTTAGTCTGTGCTTAATCACTTTATGACTGCCTGCCCTCATTGTACTGCGGATGGGCGGTCGCTGTAGGCAAAACGACATACGGGTATTTCTCTGCCTACGTCTGGGTTTTGGGTTTTTAACATGACTTTACACAGCTAACGTTACCAGTGTTATGACTGCCTGCCCGCATTGTACTGCGGATGGGCGGTCGCTGTAGGCAAAACGACATACGGGTATTTCTCTGCCTTCGTCTGGGTTTCGGGTGGCCCCCCCCTTCCCCCGGCACCCTCTATTATTGTACACAGCGGGAGCCTGTCAGCAAGTCCTGCCCAATAATTTACAGCTGCAACCTGCTGATTGGCACAGCCAGAGCTCTGTGTTGACATTCAGCACAGAGCTCAGTACACAGGGAGTAATCTGTCAGTTTCTCATCCCTGCAAAGCATGGGGAAAAAAATAACATACATTTCATTGATGTACAGTATTGCATGACTGAGCAATTGTCAGTTAAAATAACGCAGTGCCGTATAGCAAAAACTGGCCTGGTTATGAAAGGGGATAAATCTTCTGGAGGTCAAGTGGTTAATATAAATCTTATATCTGCAATCAGTTAAATATGGAGTTTGAGTTTCTTTTAAAAATTTGAATGAGTAAAAATGATTCTGCCTAACTTGTGCACCCTCTGCCTTTATTTCTTTTTCTGTGTGCCAGTTAACCAGTGGGAAGCATGTCATAGACGCCGTGCACACCAATCACACTGCAGCAAATAACTTTAAGTGGATTTATATATTGTTTGGAATTGATAGCTTTTACAGCTAATAGAAGTACTGTTTCTTGTTTATAAATTTCCCAATTATTTCCTTTCTGTAATAAAGTTTGCATTACATTAACCATAAACCTTTGTCAGCATGTAGCTTGACTTGTATATTTGGTCTTTAAGTATTTATAAAGTGTGTTTTTATTTGTATTTCTTTTAGTGATGGCTGGGCAGACAGAGATGAAGTTATAGATGGCTATGAAGCTGAAGCCAGTGGTGGAATTACTATGAAGCTTCGTTCACCAGAGGTGAAGTCCTTTGATGAGTATTTTCTGACTCTACGCTTGGATAATAATTCTCGAAATCCGTGGTTTAGCGAGTTTTGGCAATATCGATTCCAGTGTCGTATTCCAGGGCACCCACAGGAGAATGCTAATTTTAAAAGGATTTGTAAAGGTAACATTATTGACAGTTTGATCTTTAACCTTTTGTCTAACATTTTATTTCAGCTATATAGGAAATGCCTGCTACTAAACTCTCAAAACCTTAAAATGTTACTAAACCCACTACAGTAAAATCAGTCTATATATGTAGTAAAGCATGCTTGTTATACTCACTGTGAAACCTAAGGTGTGTAAAAAGGATGTTTTATCCTCACCTCTCTGATCCTCCCCTTCTTTTACTGTCCCCAATCTATATGCTGACAGAACAGAGCCTTGGGAGAAAGCTGTACATGCTCAGTTTGGTGTGTATTGCTAGAGAGTTTTTTTTCCTGTGAGGGTGCATGTGATCAGCACAGGGCCAATCAGCACTGTCCAGACAGAGAGTCAGGGGTCCTGCAGCCTCATAGGAAAATCAGGGCAGAATAGAAACTCCTTCTACAAGCTTTGACCAGTACTCTGCTGAACACTGACAGAAGTCACAAGACTGCTTTAACTGCTGATTAGAAAATATATTTAGCAATTTATAGCTACTAAAATAGTTGTATTTCCATGTTGTGTGTACTGTGGGAGACCAGATATAGTGAATGCAGGGTCCTGGGTCTAGTAGCACTTTAAGGATTACGGTATTCATGTTTAATAAGCAGTGAAAGGGTGGGGGGGAAATTTATTGAGGAAGATACAAACTGAATGAGCTAATATCTACTAAAAACAATATGTGCCGTTTATTTATCAATGGATCTATGCCATTTTTATTTGATCTTTTGCTTGCCTGCATACATGTATTCAGCCTTTGGTATTCCAGCCCAGGTCATAAAAAATGTTAACCTGTTAGATACATGACGTTAAAAACAAACATGATAATTACCATGATATTTGGGCTGGCTGGATATATGTTTCATATGAAATACTGGACGTTTAACACCATGTTCGGAACAAGCACTCCTGAGCAAAGGGTTGTCCCTCTCCTGGAAGCTGTTTTAGGACCCGGGTTTTCGCATCCATATGTGTAGGCTATGGATTTTTTTTTTTAAATTATGCTTGATATTAGATCACAAGGCATGCAAATTCCCTTTATGTCAGTGCATAAGGTGTAGTTCATTTTTTTTCTTTCTTCCTTATTTTTTTCCTTTCTACGGCATTGCATATTTCACTGTCAGTAATCTCTTGTCATGGTACTGTATAAATTTGGTATTTTTTTGGATTGCTTATTTATGAATCTGGGAATGATACTCTTTTACCAGGCTGTTCTTTTTACTGTATTCAGTCACTGGCAGTGGTGTATTTAGGTTTAATGCTGCCCTAGGCAACACAAAAATCGTCTCCCCCCCTTCCCATGGAGAGACCCTGACACCAACCAACACCCCCACCCCCACAAAGAGAGCTTGACATTGACAAACAACACCCCCCCCCACCCAAGAGAGCCTTCCACTACCACCGCCCCCCATACACTGGTAACCGTCCCCCCCCCCCCGCACCCTAGCAAGCGAGAAGACACTCACCTACACAGCTCAGGACATCCCCGGGAACAAGAGTCAGGCTCTGCATACACCATGAAGCAGTCCACAACCTCTCTCAGATTCCACCCGATCCCCATGCTGCATGTTTCCCTTCTTCCATCCCTTCTTTTTGGGGGGCGGTGCTTCCCCCTCGAAAAATGCTGCCCTAGGCAAATGCCTTGTTTGCCTTGTGGTAAATACACTTTTGGTCACTGCCTAACTGTACCTACTGTTATGCCAGCGAATTGTTGGTTTATTGGCTTTGTGATACCTGTTTGTAGCATAATGTAAAACTCTAAAGAATAATCAAATTAAAAAAATGCCAAGCCATGAAGCATAGAAAAGTCAGCATCTGGCATAAAAAAAAATTCCCAGCCTTGTCAGTGAATGTGGTATAATAGGAAAATATAGTGTTACACTCTTAAGCTCACCATGCGCGTTACAGTCTATCGAACAATCTTTGTATAATCAACTTTAGATTACACAAATATATATGTAATATAATAAAAGAACCTACTTAAACTATGCAATCAATCTGTAATGCATAGTTGTTGGGTATATCTAAAGAAAAACATAAAGTCAATTTTAATGTGTGAGCTTTAGAGTGATTAATAAACACTTAATAAACACATATCTGATTTTGTTTCCCAATTTTACTGATTGTAAGAATACAGATTACAAAGGTATTTGTCATACATCACAGAAGCCATAACTTTGTTAATTTTTTTTACTAGTAAAACAAATTTTTAAATTTTTACCTTTTTTTTTTTATAAAGGAAATCTGGGACCAATGGCCCCCCTCTGGCAGGGAGGCCCTGGGCAACTGCACCTTTTGCCCCCTTATAAATCTGGTACTGTTGGTGCAAAATTACTTTTGGCCTCAGAAGTTTCATAGCAGGTTATGAAATTAAAAAAACATGTTCTTCCAATCATGACATACAATCTCAATTGCAGCTTGTAAATATGAAACAGAAAATATCTGACATTATATGACAAAAATAAAGCTTCCATTAGAAGTTTTTATCACAATACGTCTGTTCCATAAATGGTGAGCGTGAACAGGTAAGATTACAACCAAGGGAACGGAAAAAAAAATGTCAACACCAGACTAAAGTTGGCCATACACTAATAGAATTTAGTTTAAAAAAAAAACTTTAAAAACACTCATTCGATTTTCTAATTGTTAGTGGGTTTAAATTAGATATTTGTTTTGGCCACAGTGATGAACAGCTTCAAAGGAGTAGAATGGAAAATCTTTCTTGAATGAATGATTTTCTTACAGTGTTGTGTTTTTTGCTTGGGAAAGACTATTTACTCCAAAATCAAATAAAATTTTCTTTACCAACATTTATCATATTAGTGAATGTACCAATGAGAATTTTCTTAGAAATCTTCAAACCAATGTTCATTCAATTCATTTGAAAATCAATTCATGTTTGGCTAGCTTTACAGCCTATTAATACACTGTTTTCACAGGTGTCCTAATGTACCTGCCTCAGTGTGTTAATTGTAGAGAATTAGGTTTGTTTTTTTGTCACTTTTTTGCTGCCAGGTCCATAGGCGTACAGACCTATAAGACTTCTTCCTGCTGGCCAGGTCCATACAGCATATGGACCTACAGGACTGCTTCCTGCTGGCCAGGTCCATATGCCATATGGACCTACAGGACTGCTTCCTGCTGGCCAGGTCCATACAGCATATGGACCTACAGGACTGCTTCCTGCTGGCCAGGTCTTTATGCCATATGGACCTGCATTCCTCCTCTGCTATAAGCTCTTGGTCACTTTTCTTGTGTCTGCCTCTCCACTTCCCGCTGTTGTTCTCTGCCCCCTCACTCTTTTGGCCCCTTTACCTGTCATATCACCCCTCCTCCCCAGCACCGATCCCCTTCTGTCCGCACTGATCCCCCCCCCCCTCGCAATTCCAATCCTCTGTAGGTATCCTGCAGCTGCTGGCATCCTGCCTCTCCCACTGGCTTCAGGGCAGTCACAGGGGCTTTAAAAATATATATACAGTTAGGTCCATATATATTTGGACACAGGCACAATTTTAGATTTTTTTTCAGGTATTTACCAAAACATATTCAAGCTATAGTTATATAATGGATATGGGCGAAAAGTGCACACTCTCAGATTTAATTTGAGGGTATGTACATCCAAATTGGAGGAAGGGTTTAGGAATTACAGCTCTTAAGGGTAGCCATCCCACATTTCCATGGGACCAAAAGTAATTGGACAATTGAATCAAAAACTGTTTCATGGCCAGGTGTGGGCAACTTCTTCGTTATTTCTTCATCAATTAAGCAGGTAAAAGGTCTGGAGTTGATTCTAAGTGTGGTATTTGCATTTGGAATCTATTGCTGTGAACCTACATCATGCGTTCAAAGGAACTGACCATGCAAGTGAAACAGGCCATTGTATGGCTTCAAAAACAAAACAAATCCATCAGAGAGATAGCAGCAACATAAGAAATGGCCAAATCAACAGTTTGGTACATTCTGAGAAAAGAAGAATGCACTGGTGATTTCAGCAACATAAAAAGGCATGGACATCCAAGGAAGACAAAAGTGGTGGATGATTGCAGGATCCTCTCTATGGTAAAGAAAAAACAACATCCAGACAAGTGAAGGACACTCTCCAGGAGGTGGGCGTAGCATTGTCAAAATCTACAATCAAGAGAAGACTTCACAAGAGCAAACACAGAGGGTTCATCACAAGGTTACAATCCATTCTTAAGCCTGAAGAATAGAAAAGCCAGATTAGACTTTGCCAAAAAACATCTAGAAAAGCATTCTTTGGATGGATAAAACTAAGATTAATCTGTTTCAGAATGATGGGAAGAAAAAAGTGTGGTGAAGGCTTGGAACAGCTCATGATCCAAAGCACACAATGTCATCTGTAAAACATGGTGGGGGCAGCATGATGGCATAGGCATGCATGGCTTCCAGTGGCACTGGGTCATTGGTGTTTATTGATGATGTGACAGAAGTACTCGGATTAATTCTGCAGTGTTTAGAGATGTACTGTCAGCCCAGATTCAGTCAAATGCAGTAAAGTAGATTGGACGGCGCTTTATATTACAGATGGACAATGATCCAAAACACACTGCAAAAGCTTCCCAGGAGCTTTTGAAGGAAAAGTGGAATATTCTGCAATGGTCGAGTCAATCACCTGATCTCAACCCAATTGAACATGCATTTCACTTGCTGAAGGCAAAACTAAAGGCAGAAAGACCCACAAACAATGAACAATGGAAGACAGCTGCAGTTAGAGCCTGCCAAAGCATCAGAAAAGAGAAAACCCAGTCTATGGTAATGTCTACGGGTTCCAGACTTCAGGCAGTCATTGCCAGTAAAGGATTCTCAACAAAATATTAAAAATGAACATTTTATTTATGATTTTATTCATTTTTCCAATTACATTTGAGCCCCTGAAAATGGAGGGACTGTGTATAAAGATGGTTGCAGTTCCTAAAATTTGTACTTGTTATTTATGTTCAACCCGTTGAATTAAAGCTGAAAGTCTGCACTTCAAACTCATTTGGATTGTTTCATTTTAATTTATTCTGGTAGCATATAGAGCCAAAAGTATGAAAATTGAGCCTGTGTCCAAATATATACGGACCTAACTGTATACACACCCCATCACTCTGACTTCCCCCCGCAATGCCACCTTCTCACCAATCCTCCAGGATCCTCCTCGCTGTGCTGCTAGCCGGAATTCCCTCTTTCCTGTCCCACCAGCTGAAGCTTCTGCTTGGGGACAGGACACAAGCGGTCGGGATGGAAAGTGGTCGAGGAGGGGGCTTGGTAAACATGTTTACCAGCCCCCTCCTTTTCCTTTAATGGATCAGGCCAGCAATCACTACTGATTGCTCCTGTATCCATTGATAACTGGGCATAGGAAACTGTGTTTACTATATGTCAGTTTATGAATGAAAAGGGGTCTCTATACAGACTCCTTATTCATTCATGTAATGTGCAGCTTAGAACCTCAAAAAAGAGACATCAGGGGTCTCTTTAGTAATTTAGCAGGAATTTTGTATGTTTTGCTGTGTTTGTGTGCACTACTGCAGGGCCAAAGAAATCAGTAGCACTTTTTTTACACTACAGGTCATGTGCTTTCAGAAAATGTATGGTTTGGGGGTTCTTTTCAAATTCTGAAAGCTGTAAGTGA